TTGGTAAGAAATGTACGCATTATCCTGCCCATGCAATTGTAACCCCTCTGTACAGTATGTTCACAAATAAAATAAAATTAAATTTTAAAAAAAAAGACTCTCAGGCCGGGAGCTAGTGGCTCACACCTGTAATCCTAGCTACTCAGGAAGCTGAGATATGAGGATCACAGTTCAAAGCCAGCCTGGGCAGGAAAGTCCATGAAACTCTTTTTTTTTCTTGGTCCGGTTGTGGGGCCTGAACTCTGGGCCTAGGCGCTGTCCCTCAGCACTTCAGCTCAAGGCTAGTGCTCTACCACTTGAGCCTAAGTGCTACTTCTGGCTTTTTTTTTTTTTGCTTATGTGGTGCTGAGGAATCGAACCCAGGGTCTCAGGTATGCAAGGCAAGCACTCTACCACTGAGCCACCTTCCCAGTCCTCCGTGAAACTCTTATCTCCAATAAACCACCAGAAAACCAGAAGTGGCGCTGTAGCTCAAGTGGTAGAGCACTAGCCTTGAGCTGAAGAGCTGAGGGACAGCGCCCAGGCCCAGAGTTCAAGCCCCCACAACCAACTAAAAAAAAAAAAATACTCTCAGAGCCAGGCACCAGTGGCTCATGCCTGTAATCCTAGCTACTCAGGAGGCTGAGTTCTAAGAATTGAGGTTCAAAGCCAGCCCAGGCAGGAACATCTGTAAGTTTATCTCCAATAAACAATCAGCAAACCACAAGTGGCACTGTGGCTCAGGTGGTAGAGTGCTCACCTTGAGCTGAAGGGCTGAAGGACAGCACCCAATCCCAGAGTTCAAGTCCTATGACCCAAACAAAAAAAAAGTCCATGAGACTCTTATCTCTAATAAAACACTCAGAAAAGGCCAGAAGTGGTACTGTGGCTCAAGTGTAGAGCTCTAGCCCTGAACTTCTGTTTTCAAGGCTAGTGCTCTAACACTAGAACCCAGGTACCATTTCTGGCTTTTGCTGTTTAATCTGGTTCTGGGCGCTGTCCCTCAGCTCTTCAGCACAAGGTTAGAATTCTACCACTTGAGCCACAGCACCACTTCCAGTTTTCTGGTGGTTTTATTGGAGGTAAGTCTCACGGACTTTCCTGCCCGGGCTGGCTTTGAACAGCAATCCTCAGATCTCAGCCTCCTGAGTAGTTAGCATTATAGGTGTAAACCACTAGTGTCTGCCAGCAGCATTAATTTTTTGTTTGTTTTTGCCAGTCATGCGGCCTGAACTCGGCCCGGGCGCTGTCCCTCAGCTCTTCGGCTCAAGGCTAGCGCTCTACCACTTGAGCCACAGCGCCACTTCCTGCTTTTTCTGCTTATGTGGTGCCAAGGAATGGAACCTAGGGTCTCATGCATGCAAGGCAAGCATTCTACCACTGAGCCACCTTCACAGCCCCAGGAGTATTTACTTTAAAAACTTTTTTTATTTTAAAAACTTTTACATGGGCACTGGTGGCTCATGCCTATAACCTTAGCTACTCAAGAGGCTGAGATCTATAGATCACAGTTCAAAGCCAGCCCAGGCAGGAAAGTCCCTGAGGCTCTTATCTCCAGTTAACCAAAAGCCAGAAGTGAAGCTGTGGCACAAAGTGATAGAGCATGAGCAATAAAGCTCAAGGACAGTGCTCAGGCCCTGATTTCAAGCCCCAAGACCAGGAAAAAATAACAACAACAACAAAAACAATGAAATGTTAGCCAGGAACTAGTCGCTCACATCTATAAGCCTAGCTACTCAGATTTGGAGGATTGAGACTCAAAATAAGTCCAGGCAGAAAAGTCTACCATTGGCCAGGTGCTGGTGGCTGATACCTATAATCTTAGCCACTCAGGAGGCTGAGATCTGAAGATCACAGTTAAAGCCAGCCTGGACAGGAAAGTCCATGAGACCCTTATCTCCAATAAACCACCAGAAAATCCGAAGGGGAACTGTGGCTCAAGTGGTAGAGTGCTTGCCTTGAGCCGAAGAGCTGAGGGACAGCACCCAGGTCCAGAGTTCAAGCCCCATGTCTACCCAAAAAAAAAAAAAAAAGAAAGAAAAAAAGAAGAAGGAAAAATCTACCATCTCCAAAATAATGGGAAAAAAACTGAGCTAGAGGAATGGACTCAATTAGTACTACTGAGTGCCCATTGAGCAAATAAGATGAACAAAAATAAGTCTCCTGTACCAGAGGGGTAAAAAAAAACAACTGAGTGTTGTTTGCAAAGCTCACCAATCCTAAAAAACCCAAATAGCAATTCAGCAATGTATATAATGAGCCTAAAAATTTGTCAACACTTACTAGAAATGTGATTTCAGAAAACAATTTCAAAAGAAGCAACACTGAAGCTGGGGGTTTAGCGCAGTGGTAGTTCTTGCCTAGTATTTATGTGTAAGGTCTTTGGTTCAATGCCCATCACTGCCATAACAAAAAGCAATTACCATAAAGATGTCTAACAAAAATCCGCTTGTAAGCACGGTGCACAGTAAACAAGGGTGCAATGTACTGAGTGTTAAAGCCAATTGCATTACAAACTTCATAAAAATTCTGCCAACAGTTCACAGTAAAACCAAATCCAGCAATTTTTTATAAGGACAAATTTAAAACTTGGGGTGGGGGAGCCACAGGGCTGGGAGGAACTCCAACCTGCACAACAGTCCATCTGTAACATTACCTGTTCTCAGCTTTCTTGCTTTTATTGCCAGGACTGGAGGACCGGGATCGCCGACCCCGGCTTCTGCTCCTTGACCGTCTCCTATCTCGGCTTCTAGATCTTCTTCTTTCTCGGCTTCGGTCTCTCTCTCTACTTCTGGAACGCCTGAAGGGGGGACACATTTTATTCACTTTCTGGCCAGCTATTTCGTAGGCTGAGATCTGTGGATCACAGTTCAAAGCCAGCCCAAGCAGTAATTAATGTCAGTGAGACTTCTATCTACAATTCACCCCTAAAAAGTTAAGTTGAAAATGGTCCTATAGCTCAAAAGTGGTAGTGCCAGCCTTGAGCATAAAACCTCAGGGACAGTGTCCAGGCCTTGAGTTCCAGACCTACCGCCAGCACAAAAAAGACAGATAGATCATTTGAATCTCTTCACAGACTAATCATTCTGGTTCTAACCCAACATTGGGAATAAAGCAGAGGATCCAATAGAAAATACACTTTGGGAGAAGTGCAAATTAGCTGACAACACTCTATCACTAGTTTTTCAGAGATTCATGTCTTACCTCAGACGCTTCCTGTCCCTCGACCGAGATCTTCGTTTATCCCTGCTCCGAGACCTTTCTCTCCTTCTATCTCTATCTCTGCTTCTAGACCGTCTGTCATCTCCACGTTTACTTCTTTTGTCCGAGGGCGAACGACTTCTAGATCGACTTCCAGAGCGTCCCCGTGATGCTGACCGTTTTCGATAGTGGCTAGAATCATATTAATGAAGATTAAACTTAGCGTGCATGTTAATCCTCATTGTCAGTGTGACTGGGTATGAGAATGGCAGTGTCTACAAAAATGACCACATTTCAAGGGCCCAGACCTAATGAATGGATTCATTCCTTGGTAAGATCCACAGTACAAGGCATTATTGGGAGGTGTGAAAAGTGAGAGGTAAGCCAGGCCCCTGTCACCCTAGCTACTCAGGAGGCTGAGATCTGAGGATCAAAGCCAGCCTGGGAAGGAAAGTCCATGAGAATCTTATTTCCAATGAACCACCAGAAAACACGAAGTGGCGCTGTGGCCCAAGTAGTAGAACTGCTAGCCTTGAACTGAAGAGCTGAGGGACAACAATCAGGCCCAGAGTTTAAGCCCCACAACGGACCACAAAAAAAAAGCACAAGGATAGCCCTTAAGCCTTAGATTGAAGCCCCAGGAGTGCCATAAAAATAAACATTTTTTTTTAATAAAAGACAACTACTGGAAGATTTTTGTTTTGGGGTTGTTTTTTTTGCCAATCCTGGGGCTTGACTCAGGGCCTGGGCACTGTCCCTGAGCCTCTCTGTGCTCAAGGCTAGCACTTTACCACTTGAGCCACAGCACTACTTCCCAAATTTTTCTATGTGATACTGAAGAATCGAATCCAGGGCTTCATGCATACTAGGCAAGCACTCTACCTCTAAACCACATTCTCAGACCAACTGGAAGATTTTTTAAGCAGATTTTTTTAACTTCACATAGTATGTAAAGTAGTATTTTAGTTACTAAGTGAAGAACACACCAAAGAGAGGAGAGGCAAGGGGAGAAATAGTAAATGTTAGGCTCTTTATTTTATTTTTTATTTTTTGCTTATATGGTACCAAGGAATCGAACCCAGAGCCTCATGCATGCTAGGCAAGCACTCTACCACTAAGCCACATTCCCAGCCCCAAAAGTTAGGATCTTATATTAACCATCCAATGAGAGATGGTGATGGCTTGGGTCAGAATGGCCCAATCATGTAAAGATGCTGAGAAGTATCAAAACCAAGTGTGGGGAGGGGGTAGCATGACTGAATTTAATGATAAGTTAAATATTAAGCATGACTCCAAGACAGAACTCTGGCTCTACAAGGTACATGACTGGGCCAAGCAGAAATCAAATGAAATTGTGTTGGGGGAGTTAGTAGGAGACCATGGCTGAGCACACAGAAGGCCCACCAAGCGTTCAAATCCCTAGTAAGAGGCAAATGTTCCCATTATGAAGATGGAAAGGCAAAGGAGTAGACTGAAAGGGAGGAAAGTGGGAAATCAGGGTATTAGTGTCCAAGTGAAGATAAATAGTAGGTAACTGAAAATAAGTCTGGCTCCAAGGAAGACATGTGGTCTAAAACTATACACAGAAGAATCAGTGTACAAAGGCTACCTTAAAGCTGCAAACCTGGACAAGACCACTAGAGAGTACATGTCCTTCTAGCATCTCAACATCAGAGCAAAAGCTGTTACCTTTCCCTCCCCAAACCATGTATCACCTCCCAGCGGGCTCAAAACTAATCATCAGTCCTGTCCTTTTTCTCATTTTATACAAACAATAAAACACTAATCTTGGGGCTGGAAAGGTGGCTCAGGGGTAGAGCGCTTGCCTTGCATGCATGAGGCCCTGGGTTCGATTCCTCAGCACCACATAAACAGAAAAAGCCAGAAGTGGCACTGTGGCTCTAGTGGTAGAGCACTAGCCTTGAGCTGAAGAGGTAAGGGACAGTGCCCAGGCTAAGTTCAGGTCCCATGACCAAAAAAACAAAAACAACAACACTAATCTTCACCAATTGTCCCTTTGTGATTATTTCACACTGTACCACCTCCAGATTTCCACAGTCTACTTCAAACCTGTCTACGTGGGACATTTTTTTAAGACTCCCAGACTCCCTGTTCCCAAATGTCTTAGCTTGGATAATTTTCCCAAAGTAGAATTCTAAATCTATTACATGTCTCATATAATTATCCTCAAAGGCAGTTATTCGCAAAATCAAACTAAAAACCCATTCACTTTCTGAGACCCTTTCAGGCCCTAAATCCTTCCACTTCAATCCTTCATGAAAACTACATATGTAGGCAAACTGGACTCACTAGCTGTTTCTCTAACATTTGCTTTTCCCCACTTCTGATTCTTTCACTGTTCCTTCCCTGAAAAAAAAAAAGCAAAGACCAAGCATGGCAGAAAGCCATGGCAGAGCCTAAAGAACTGGAATGAACCTTCTTGTAGAAGACCTTGAAGGCTGACTTTGAAGCAACAGGAATCAATGTCTGGGGAGCAACAGTAATCTTATCTTTATTTCAGAAGTGTCATTCTGGCCCTAGTAGGAGGGACCTAATGATTAGAAAGAATGGGAGGATAGTTCAAGGAAGGTGTAGGAGTTTGGACAATAAATGATAGGTATCTCATTTCATTAAGGAAGAGGTAAAATGAATGCAGAACCTAAATAGAAGACCACAGTAACAGGAAAGAGTAAAATAAGTATCAATTTCACATTTCTGGTCTGGTGGCCAGATGAATGGCAGTGACTTTAGGGTAATTTAAAAGATGTTCACAGAACTGGGCAATGGTGGCTCATGCCTATAATCCTAGATACTTAGGAAGCTGAGATCTGATGACTGAGGTTCAAAGCCAGCCTGGGCATGAAATTCTGTGAGGCTCTTATCTCCAATAAATCACCCAGAAAACCTGAAGCGGGTCTGTGGCTCAAAGTAGTAGAGCACTGACTGAAGAGGTGAGGGACAGCGCCCAGAGTTCAAGCCCCATGACTGACACAAAAAAGATTTCACAGAAAATTTCAATAATTAAGATAAAATTCTTTATCCAGAGGATGATTATATGATTTGTATGTTTGCTAAATTTCAGCAGGGTCTACTCTTACACTAAGTTCATGTCCAAAAGTGACAGTTATACCTCAATAAAGTGTGTTACCATGTTAAACATACCAAAAAGCTGGGTGCTGTTGCTTCACGTCTATAGCCCTAGCTACTGAGATCTGAGGCTAGAAATTCAGAGCCAGTCCCAAAAGACAAAAACTGGAGTCTTTTATCTCCACTTAACCAGCAAAAAGCTAGAGATGGAGATATGGCTCAACTGGTAGAGTGCCAGCCTTGAGCAAAAACTCATAAGGCTCTGAAGTCAAACAAGAGAACCTGCACAAAAATAATAATAAAGCAAAATCTTTACTGTCTCTTGATAGTATCCTATAGTATCTTTCAGACACCACTAAACATCTATTTTTAAGGTAGGCAATCTCAAAGACTGTTCCTAGTTATCCAAATAAAGTTTTGAAGAAATTTTATCCATGTTTCTGTAACCCCTCTGTACATTTTCACAATAAAAAATGTATTTGAGAGAGAGAAAGAGAGCCGGTGTCAGTGGCCCACGCCTGTAATCCTAGCTACTCAGGAGGCTGAGATCTGAGGGTCTCGGTTCAAAGCCCACCCGAGCAGTGAGACTCTTATCTCCAATAAACCACTAGAAAACCGGGAAGTGGCACTGTGGCTCAAGTGGTAGAGCTCACCTTGACCTGAAGAGTGCAGGGACAACGCCCAAGCCCAGAGTTCGAGCCCCATGACCGACCGACCAAACAGAAAAAAATTATTCCAAAAAGGTCTCTAGTGTAGTTTTAAAAAGAAAGCATGTTGAAAATGAACCATACAAGGGGTTGGGAAGGTGGCTCAGTGGTAGAGAGCTTGCCTTGCATGCATGAGGCCCTGGGTTCAATTCCTCAGCAACAAAGCAGAAAAAGCCAGAAATGGTGTTGTGACTCAAGTGGTAGAGCATTAGCCTTAAGCTGAAGAGCCCAGGGACAGCGCCCAGGCCCAGAGTTCAGGCCCCATGACTGACAAAA